TTTGTGCCAGTACCATACTGTCTTGATGATTACAGCTTTGTAATATAACTTAAAGTCTGGAATTGTGATGCCCCCAGCTTTGGCTTTCTTTTTCAACATTCCTTTGGCTATTTGGGATCTTTTTTGGTTCCATACAAGTTTTAGGATTATTTGTTCCAAGTCTGTGAAAAAAGTTAATGGTATTTTGATAGCGATTGCTTTGAATATGTACATTGCTCTGGGCAGTATAGACATTTTAACAATATTTGTTCTTCCAATCCATGAGCATGGAATGTTTTGCCATTTCTTTGTGTCTTCCTCACTTTCTTTCATGAGTGTTCTATAGTTTTCAGAGTATAGATCCTTTACCTCTTTGGTTAGGTTTATTCCTCAGTATCTTATGGTTTTTGGTGCAATTGAAAATGGGATCGACTCCTTAATTTCTCTTTCTTCTGTCTCATTGTTAGTATATAGAAATGCAACTGATTTCTGTGCACTGGTTTTATATCCTGCCACATTGCTGATTTCCGTTTGAGTTCTAGCGATTTTGGTGTGGAGTCTTTTGGGCTTTCCACATAGAGTATCATGTCATCTGTGAAGAGTGAGAGCTTGACTTCTTCTTTGCCTATTCAGATGCATTTTATTTCTTTTTGTTGTCTGATTGCTGAGGCTAGGACTTCTACTACTATGTTGAACCACAGTGGTGAAAGTGGGCATCCCTGTCGTGTTCCTGATCTTAGGGGAAAAGCTCTCAGTTTTTCCTTTTCTGCATCTATTGAGAGGATCATATGGTTCTGATCCTTTCTTTTATTAATGTGGTGTGTCACGTTGATTAATATGTGGATGTTGAAACGCTCCTGCAGCCCAGGAATAAATCCCACTTGGTCGTGATGAATAATCCTTTTAATGTACTGTTGGATCCTACCGGCTAGTATCTTGTTGAGAATTTTTGCATCCATGTTCATCAGGGATGTTGGTCTGTAATTCTCCTTTTTAGTGGGATCTTTGGGATCAAGGTAATGGTGGCTTCATAGAACGAGTTTGGAAGTTTTCCTTCCATTTTTATTTTTGGAACAGTTTCAGAATAGGTATTTATTCTTTAGACTTTTGGTAGAATCCCCCTAGGAAGCCGTCTGGCACTGGACTCTTGTTTGTTGGGAGGTTTTTGATTACTGATTCAATTTCTTTGCTGGTTATTGGTATGTTCAGATTTTCTATTTCTTCTTGTTTCAGTTTCGGTAGTTTATATGTTTCTAGGAATTTATCCATTTCTTCCAGATTACCTAATTTGTTGGCATATAATTGCTCATAATATTCTCTTATAATTGTATTTCTTTGATGTTGGTTGTGGTCTCTCCTCTTTCATTCATGATTTTATTAATTTGGGTCTTTTTTTCTTTTTGATAAGTCTGGCTAGGGGTTAATCTTCTTAATTCTTTCAAAGACCAGCTCCTAGTTTTATTGATCTGTTCCCCTGGGGTTTTTAAAAATTTCTATATTATTGATTTCTGCTCTGCTCTTTCTTATTTCTCTTACCCGGCTATATGTAGGCTTTATTTGCTGTTCTTTTTCCAGCTCCTTTAGGTGTAGGGTTAGGTTGTGTATTTGAGACTTTTCTTGCTTCTTGAGGAAGGCCTGTATTACTCTCTGTTTCCTTCTTAGGACTGCCTTTGCTGCATCCCAAAGATTTTGAACTGTCATGTTTTCATTTTTATTTGCTCTCATGTTTTTTAAAAATTCTTTAATTTCCTGATTGACCCATTTATTCTTTAGTAGGATGTTTTTTAACCTCCATGTATTTGTGGTCCTTCCAAATTTTTTCTTATGGTAGACTTCAAGTTTTATAGCATTTTGGTCTGAAAGTATGCATGGTATGATCACAATCTTTTTGTACCACTTGAGTCCTGATTTGTAATGCAGTATGTAATCTATTCTGGAGAATGTTCTATGTGCACTTGAAAAGAATGTGTATTCTGCTGCTTTAGGATGAAATGCTCTGAATATATCTGTTAAGTCCATCTGGTCCAGTGTGTCATTCAAAGCCCTTGTTTTCTTGTTGATCTTCTGCTTAGATGATCTGTTCATTACTGTGAGTGGGGTGTTAAAGTCCCCTACTATAATTGTATTATTATCAATGAGTTTTGTTAAGTTTGTTATTAATTGATTTATATATTTGGCTACTCCCAAGTTAGGGACATACATATTTACAATTGTTAGATCTTCTTGTTGGATAGACCCCATTATTATGATATACTGTCCTTCTTCATCTTTTGTTACATTCTTTGGTTTAAAACCTAGTTTGTCTGATATAAGGATGGCTACTCCAGCTTTCTTTTGTCCATTAGCATAATAAAAATGGTTTTCCACCCCCTCATTTTCAATCTGGAGGGGTTTTGGGTCTAAAATGAGTCTCTTGTAAGCAACATATCGATGGGTCTTATTTTTTTTATCCATTCTGATACCCTATGTCTTTTGATTGGAACATTTAGTCCATTAACATTGAGAGTAATTATTGAAAGATATGAATTTAGTGCCATTGTATTACCTGTAAAGTTGCTGTTTCTGTAGATTGTCTCTGTGCCTTTCTGGTTTTTTTTACTTTTGGTCTGTCTTTATGCTCAAAGGGTCGTCTAATATTTCTTGCAGGGCTGGTTTAGCATTCATCAGTTCCTTTAGTTTTTGTTTGTCTTGGAAACAATCTCTTCTATTCAGAATGAAAGCCTTGCTGGATAAAGTATTCCTGGCTGCATATTTTTCCCATTTAGCATGTTGAATATATCCTGCCAGTCCTTTCTGGCCTGCCAGGTCTCTGTGGACGGGTCTACTGCCAGCCTTTTGTGTCTACCCTTACAGGTTAAGGACATCTTGTCCCAAGCTGCTTTCAGGATTTTCTCTTTCTCTTTGTAATTTGCAAGTTTCACTATAATATGTCATGGCAGTGACCTATTTTTGTTGATTTTGAGGGGAGTTCTCTGTGCCTCTTGGACTTGAAAGCCTGTTTCCTTCCCCAGATTAGAGAAGTTCTCAGCTATAATTTGTTCAAATAAACCTCCTGCCCCTTTTTCCTGCTCTTCTTCTTCTGGGACTCCTATTATATGGATGTTATTTTGCTTTATGGAATCACTGAGTTCCCAAATCTACCTTCATGATCTAATATTTTTCTTTCCCTCTTCTTTTAAGCCTCATTATTTTCCATCATTTTATTTTCTATACCACTAACTGATTCACTCTTCTGCTTCATTCATTCTCATTTTTATGGCCTCCACTTG